TGGCATGTCAACATCACCAATGTTAATATGCCAGTTGAGAAAAAAAGTCCTTGTTTGTAGGTTTCTGAACTGTCCTTTGTTCTTCAAGATGCATGTGTCATGCACCTTCTTGACTGGCTAATGTTGATGTCGGTGAAGTGTACCTGGTGCTCCACCAACACTTGCAATATCATAGAAAAGTAGCCTTTTCTCTTGTACTCTGTGGCAAGATGGTCTGATGCCAAAATAGGGATATGCATACTGTCTATTGCTCCACTACAGTTTGGGAATCCCATTGCTGCAAATCCATCCACTATGACCTGCACATTGCCTAGAGCAGTGGTTCTCAAACTTTTGTACTGGTGACCCCTTTCACATAGCAAGCCTCTGAGTGCGACCCCCCCTTAAATATATATAAAAGAGTTTTTAATTTATAACACCATTATAAATGCTAGAGGCAAAGCGGGGTTTCGGATGGAGGTTGACAGCTCGCGACCCCCCCCCCCATGTAATAACCTCGTGACCCCCTGAGGGGTCCTGACCCCCAGTTTGAGAACGCCTGGCCTAGAGTAACAGTCGTAATAGCCCTGCACACAGAACTACCCCCACAATGGATTTTCAAGCTCCAAAATTTTTTCCTGCTGACCGCTAGCAATCTGACATTGCAAGTTTCCACAATGTGATTACCACTTGCTTCTTCACTGTCAAAGCAGCTTTCATTTTGGTGTCCCTGAGCTGGAGGGCTGGGGCAAGCTTGGCACACAGATCCAGGAATGTGACCTTGTTCATCAACCCAAACCCAACCCATTACAGTGCAATCCCACCAGTCAGTTTTCATTTCTTAGGCTCAGAGGTGACACTCCACTATCTGCAGCTGCTCTATGAATGCTACCAACAGCCTCGAATTGGTTCTCACTATGTTGCACAGCAATCTGTCCTCCAAGAAATCATGGTGTTCCATGCTGATTTTGGTTTTTAAGATGTCTCTGCAAATACTGGAGGATCATGCCTCTTGTGCTTGCAATGCTTATGACAATATTTCAGAGCTGTGCAGTCTCCATGCTTCTGTCAGATGGCGGACAGCAAAGGCGGCCATGCAGGTTCGTGGGATTTTTTTAAGAAAGGCACGAAAATTATGGGATATAGATAATATAATGGAATTGAGACAGTTGCATGCTGGGATGCTGACCCCTTATTCCCAGTCACCGCTGCACAACTTTTTTCTGTCCCACTGTGCTTTGCCAGAACTTCTCAAAAGAAAGTGCATTGGGCAGCAGTGGGTTGCAGACTGGGTTACCTACCCATTGTGCTTGGCACTGTATATTGACACACACTCACTCCTAGTGAGTACATGCAGTGCCAGGGCGAGGAGCCAAGTATGCACGCGCACAAGCGATACACTAACTGCAGTGGCTTTATGCCGATGTAACTTGCGGTGGCAAAAGTTTGTAGTATAGACATGCCCTGATATTTAAGTAATTTCCATTCCCTGTTTTAGAAACTTGTACTTTGTTAGGGCCTGCCCACAAAATGTGGATTCCATTATGACAAGTATAGGGACTTAATATAAGGAGTAGAGGTTTTGTTTATTTCAAATCATAAATGTAGTGTTCCAAGATAGGCAGATAAGGTTTATTGAAATATGCTGTACCAGTGATCACATTTTATTAATAGTTGTTTATTTTGTTTAATATTAAATGGTAGTAATTATTCTAAGGTCAAAGAATTGACATAAATTGGTAATTGACTTGGTGAAAACTGATCCTTGGAAATGAGTTAGTCTTAACAATTAACATTAAGAATGAGTTATTTTTTCTGGGTATTAAACTCAAGGGTGAGTCAATATAACTAGTGTTATGATGTGCCTATAGGTTTCCTTTTTTTAAAATTGCACTTTATCTGCAGTGTGAAACTGCATCTTCCATATAGACACACAATGGAGGCTTTGATTTGGGACATTAGTGGTTCAGAAATATTATTCCTACGTATTGAAACTCTAACTGTTCTTACTCTTTAAGGGCTAGTCTACACAGGAAAGGTTTACTAATTATTGTAGTATAGGTACATCAATTATAATTCTTTTTCGAGTGTCCTCTGCATATTCCCACTCATGGAATGCACTGACCTTGTCAGCGCAGACAGTGGAACCTAACCTCCTCATAGCAGTGCCTGTTAGAGCCATTCATGCATCCTTCCTACCTCTCCTCTCTGCATTCCTGAACATTCTGAGGGCAAGGCTATGAAAGGGGATGTGGTGCCCTCTGCTTGCTGTCTCAGTTCCTTCCAGCCACACCGGCAGAAAGATCTGGAGAGGTTCACATCTATCCAATCAGGATTCTTCTCTCAAAGAATTTAGTGGTTTACTTTAGTGTAGTTTTTAGTGTCACTTTAGTGAAAAGGTTAGTTGGTTAAGGAAAAGGTGTTTTTTTATTATGATGATGATTGATAGATAGTAGTTAATTTCAGTTCTGACTACTGGTTCCATGTCAGATCTGAAAGTTCAGACTTGCTTTTGAAAGGCGCACCTCTTGTCTTGCAGTCTTTCTGGTGTTGTATGCCCACACAAAACACCTTGAGGAGGGTCACTCTCCTTCAAGATGCTCTGTCTATAGTACACTTACTCTGAGGGTATGCAAGGAATGCGACAACAGGCTGTAAGTCTTACTGCGTCATGAATCTCTGGTTGCAGAGCCTCTTGGACCCGACACATCCAAGGGATCCGTATTCACAACGAAAAGGCCTGTGTCTGCTCCTTACACCTCTGGCATTAAGAACAACGCTATGTAGAAGGTTTCAATCACTGCTCAAAGATCAAGATCCAGCACCTCAGTGCAATCAGTTTCCCCCAAATCATTGGACTGACCTTAAAGGCACTCGGACTTAGTCTGTTTCAGCTTGTGAGATGAAAGCCAAACCACGGGAGAAACCCTCGGATCTTTCTACTTCAGTTCCAAGATATGCAAGACAAGAAGGCTTCTGTTAGCAAGGACAAATTGAGAGAATCCTCAGATCGATTGCATCTAGACTGGATAACATCAGATCCTAAATCAAAGTCTAAGATGCTGGTTGAAGGTATATCCCTGCCTAAAAGTCATCCCCCAGTTCTGAAGACTGCATTGGATCCAAAGATTGTTGGAGCAGGAAGTAGTTTCTTCATCTCCTATTCACTCTTTACCAACATTTACTATGGTAGTGCAGGTACACCATACAGATCGGCAATTCCATAAGTTACCAGAACCTGAAGAGACAAGCTTTTTCTTCTGAGTGGGATAAAATGAAGGTTACTGCTAGTTATCCTCCTCGAATGCCCTCCTCCTCACAGCCAGAGAAGAGGTGAGAAAAGTTGTCTCAAATATCCCCCAGACACTCCATTTTACACATGCCAGGTCTTGTAGGGTATGTCTATGCTGCAATAAAACATCTGTGACTGGCCTGTGTCAGCTGACTTGGGCTGCAGGGCTCATGCTGCAGGACTATAAAATTGTAGTGTAGATATTTGGGCTGGGGTCTGGGCTCGTGGACCTTCTCCCCTTGCGGGGTCTCAAAGATCGGGCTCAAGCTCCACTATCTGTGCTGCAATTTTATAGCCCTGCAGCCTGTACCCCGAGAGTCTGAGTCAGCTGAGCTGGGCCAGGTGCAGGTGTTTTATTGCAGGGTAGACATACCTGTATTGTCTTCAATAATTTGTAGTTTAGACTTGCAGTCAGAGGAAGAATTGGATGTGTTCGACATACCAGCATACCTCCTGGGTTCCATTCTCATCAGAAGGAATACACCGGTCAATATGGTGCCTATGTATCATCACACCCTCCCAGATATGATGTGGAGCATGAATTTGTTTACTGGCATGAATGACAGATAGTGTTCTGTGCTTGATAGCCTTTGTCTAAGCATTATAGAAATCTTTTGTGTTCTCATTGACTTAGGTATCTCTCCCACTAGAGATCAGGAAAAGTCTCTCACCTTGGATCTGAGAGTCCTGGATCTGTCAACTTTACCTGCTTTCATGGAGCATTTCCTCTGCTATAGTTCCTGCTACTGTCAGATGAGCAGCATATGGCTCGTTTGGAACATTAAGTGGAAGGGGTTGCTTCCTCTTCTGAAGATGTTTTCTGTGAACTTGTGGACAGAATGGCAGAGACACTGAAATTCCCATCTGTTACAATGGAAGAAATATCCCAGCCTGTTTGACATCCTGAGTTCTCCATCAAAAAATTGCCTTTCCAATATTAGATGGACTATGGCAACCTGAAAAGGCAGCGCTCACTCACGATAGCTCGCACGCGCTCTCTCTCTCTTGCACACATGTGCACACCCCCATATAGGTCACTATCTCTTCAGAGACATTATTTAGATGGATTAGACAGTGCATAGAGGAGAGCTTTAGGTTAACATCCATTCAACTCCCTGTTGGGATTAAGTCACAGTCTGCCAGAGCAATGTCTACTTCCATAATGTGGTATGTAGGATATGTCTGCACTATAAGCACTACAGCTGCAGCTATGCTGTAGTTGCACTGTAGCATAGACACTACAGTGATAGAAGGGATGTTTCCATCACTGTAGTAAATCCATCCCCTTGAGGCAGTAGCTAGGTCAGTGGAAGAATTGTTTTGTCTACTTCGCTGTACCCACAGTGGAGGTTAGGTTGACCTAACTACGTCAGATGGGGTGAAATTTTTCACAGCCCTGAGTGATGTATCTAAGTCGACCTAACATTTAGGAGTAGACCAGTTTCAGATACGTTCTAATTGCAGAGATCTGTAAGGCTATTACTTGGACCTCTATACATACCTTTACAAAACAATACTCCTTTGACCTAGTATAGACAAGCCCTAAAAAGACTTGAATCCTTGTCTTTGTCCCGCACTCAAGCAATTTTTAAAAAGTTTTTAAAAAAAGAAAAAATCCCAGCAACAACAAATCCCCCTCACCCCCCCCCCCCCGCTTTTTTGGTGTAACTTGATTATCTAAATCAGTCCTTGTTAATATCTAATGTCTTGTCCTGTCTTCCTCTTGCAGGCAGGCAGAAGTCCTGAAGGCTGACATGACAGGTAATTGTCTTTTATTTCACCATTAGTGCAGTTACTAAAATTGTGTTTGAGTCCTATTTTTCTTTGTGCTGTAGTGACACAAAATGCTTACCAGGCTCCTAATAGGAGTGAGACGATGGGCATAAAAGAAGCAGGTGGTAAAATTTCATTTTAACTTTGGACATTGAGACCTAACTGATATCCTGAGTTCAAACAGTTACTTATAAACATGATCTAGTGAGTAGCTGGGATTTCCAAGAACTCTGGAGTGTGCAGGTTGTGTCCTGTTAAAGGTCTATTCTTCCCATGTGGATAAATGGAGAATGCTTTACGAGTGGCTATACTCCCTGCTGTAGATGGAAAATGAAAATCTGAAACTTAAATAGTTAAAACTCACATGCAGTGCCTTAAAACACTTATGGAGAGACAAGTCCTTTTCTCTCCCAGCTGGTGACGTAGGATGAGTCCTATCTTCCACCTGGGAGGAGAGAACAGGACTGGACCTAGCTCATATGTCTTGGGTAATGACTGATCTGATACTTATTTAAAAATTAATAGCAGATGTTCTCAGTAATAGAAAAGATGTGTCTCTGGTTTCTAGCACCAAAGATGCTGGAACTGCCGAGTCCAACACTAACTTGCGGATCCCCCAAATGCAGCCTGTGAAGTCCTAAAATGCTGCTTTGCAGCATCTATCTTCTGGCTTTTACGAGATAGCCTGTTTTTATTGCTGGTGAATTTATATAAGTGGTAACTTACTCTTTTTCAGAACTGCAATAAATATTATGTTGATGTGCTTTTGGTAAAATAGTTTGCATATGAAATTCATGTGCAATCCTCTGGTTTCTAGCAGCTTGTCATTTTGGCCCTTTGTTGCAAAGCCTGCAAATCTCTTTCTGGTATTCATTAGTGTTCCTAGTTTTTGTTTTTTGATGAAGCTGTAATTGAAGGGAGGTGTGGCATGGCATTGGGTGTGGCATGAACATGATGTTTTCTTTCCTGGGGCAGGAATGGGAAAAATCAGTTGAAATGATGCTGTTCTATATACTGGGACGTGGTAAATCTGCTTTTTTTTTTTTTTTTGATGCTCAGATTCGAAGCTGGGTCCAGCTGAAGTCTGGACATCCAGACAGGCTCTACAGGACTTATACCAGAAAATGCTAGTAACTGATCTGGAGTATGCTTTAGACAAGAAAGTGGAACAGGACCTGTAAGTATTCTAATCACAGATATTCACATGTGTTTGTGTACTAGAGCAGGATCCTTCCAAAACGTATGGAAGAATGGGTACAACCTATAAAATGGGCTCAATTTTTCTGTAAGTGGAAGCTTGAATAAATACATTTTGAATAATCTTACACTGAATTTAAAGAACTAGGAGGAATATATGGGAATGGGGACTGAAAGGATGTTTACAATTCCTGCCCTTAAGGACTTTGGGGAAAACCCTGCTGTGTATCAGAAAATCTCTAATGGATTTATACTCACAAAAAAGGACTTGTAAATAATAGTTCATTGTTTAGGCATGTGCAGCATACACAGTGAGTGAGATGCAGGATTTATGGAACTGATTAATGTTGGAGAGAGGTGTGTCACTTGTTACATAGAGACTTCCCAATATGTAATTCCTAGTGAAATCCCTGCAGCATTCCCAAAAAGTTGTTTGAGAATTCTAATCAATGGACTTGCCTTTTTAGTCAACCAGGTAAATAGGGAAAAACAGACTATGTCCAAGAGGAGCTGCTCTGCCACATAATCTTTGTCGTGGAAAAGACTTTGGGTACTCAGCCTTAGCAATTATAGTGTAGCTCCCACTGAGGTCAGGGGATGGGATCTAGCTCCACTTGAGAGCCATGTGGGTGAGACACAGCTCAGAACAATAGACTCAAAAACAAAAGACTCAATCACACTTGCTTTACCCACTAATGTCAACTCTTAACTTACAAATGAGCAAGTGCCACCCTGCCTTACAGCTGAAGCACAGAAGTAGAGTACTGTGTGTTAGTAAAACAAGCTGGAAGTATCCCTGTGATCAGTATGAGAAGAGGGTGGTGCAATCATCACTGATAAAGATCCTCTTATGGGGTGAGGACTAGTGGTGTTGAGCCCCCCTCAGTTGTGTGAGGTTGAAGGGAGGAGGGAAGAGAGGCATTTGCCTTTCTGTTACCATCAAGGAAAGATGGATCAGAAGAGCAGGAAATCTTCCCTAACACTGCCATTCTGAGCATTCAGGAAGCTGGTGATGGAGGAGCTCCAAATGTTCATTCATACTAATTTAGGGACAAAGACTCTCTATGCCAGAGATTGGGGAGAGATCATCTAGGGATAGTGCTCTAGTGGGACATTCAGTATGACTTCCTCAGAGCCAGGTGAGGATCTTGCTGGATTGTCCCCCGACTTCTACCCCTGGATCTTATTTGAGGAACAGGAGCATCTTTTTGTACCAGCCTTGGTTAATAGTCTGCATTTCTTCCAGTCCCTGGCTGAGAGTCTGAAAGAGCATGATGTTAAAGCTGCTGGATGTTCAGACGTTTCGGCCTGACATCAGTTCCTGAACAGTTTTCTCTAATCCTGTCCGTGAGACTGATGGTCAAAGCTTTATGACTAATAGTGCTTGACCTGCTGGTTAGTGCTGGCAGCAAATAAATAATTGTTAATGCTGAAATAATCTATTTGTTTTTTGGAGATTTGGGGGGGGAACTTGCAGTTCTTCCCTGTTTGACTTTAGATTTCCATTGCATGTTCTGTTCCATTTTAAAGGGGAGCAGTTAAGGCACTAGAATAAGTGGAGAGCTTTGATGGAGTTAACGCTAGGTGCCTTATAATTGTAACAAACAGTTTTTTCCCATTCTCAGTGAGCTCAGTGTCTGCCCAGTGAGTCACTGCTGTAGCCAACAGAATTGTGTTTTATTCTCAGCTGGAATCATGCTTTTAAGAATCAGATCACGACACTTCAGGGGCAGGCAAAAAACCGAGCAAACCCGAATCGGAGTGAAGTTCAGGCAAACCTTTCTCTGTTCCTAGAGGCAGCTAGCGGTTTCTACACACAGGTGAGTTCTGAAACACTGGTCTCTGTACAAATGCACAACCTTGGAGCAAGAGATTTTTTACACTTTTGCCCTGATAGTGAATGTATGCAGCTTCTCTGCTTAGCTTGCACTGTTTATTTGCCAAATCTAATATGCTCTCTCCAGCAATTGCTTATGCTTAAGGCAGACAAGCTCCCATAATGCACTTGACCAGTTGTTTAATATTGTACATGGAGAAGGAAGAGCATGAGGTATTCATTCCTGATTCCTGCAGCAGTCTGAGTCTAAAAATGGTAAAATATTTATTATAGGTGAGGCTGGTAGACCAGCTTCTTACTGAGGTTTCCTTATGCTTCTCATTATAAGACCCTGTATTCCATTCCAGGTTTTTTTTTTTTTTGTTTTTTTTTTAACTTTACCAAACTTTAACTGCTTGGGCTGAAATTTTCAATGCTGGGTGACTGCCTTGTCTCTCCTCCACCCCCACTCCCACCCCTTTTTTTTTTTTTTTTTTAATTTCAGCCAGAACTATTCAGCTGTTTCTGATTGAGATTAGGGAAAAATACACTGGTTTTCAATGTCAAAAAAATAATCTGAGAACCTTTTCTTTGGAAAGCATTAGTGTCCTCATGCTTTTGAGCAGGGACTTGAAATTTGGTAGGGGGTGGCCTTTGTGTCAGGGATGTGCCTTTTGCCAACCCCCTGAAAATCTGCCCATAGTTAGCCAAGTTATGAGTAAAGCTACGATTTAGTCACGTGTATTTTTAGTAAAAGTCATGGACACGTCACAGGCAATAAACAAAAATTCACAGCCATGACCTGTCCATGACTTTTACTAAAAATAGCCTGAATAAATCTTGGGGGGGGCAGCGCGGGCTGCTGTGGGGGAGGTGTCCAGGGTCAGCGGCATCCGCTGCCGGGGCCCGTCTGCCAGGGGACTGCTGCTAGGGGTCGCCCGACCAGCCGCTGCTCCGGCCAGCCGCCCCAGGGGCCGCCCGAGCAGAAGCTGGTGTGGCTGGCCCCAGAGTCAGCTGCTTGGACCGCCCTAGGGTCAGCCACACTGGTCGCTGCAGAAGTCACGGAGGTCGCGGAAAGTCATGAAATCTGTGACTTCCACGACCTCCATGACATACACTGAGCCCTAGTTATGAGCCTTTGATAAATTGCAGTTTGCATTTGCTAGTGTTTAACAGCTGAAATCTCCAAAGATTTTATGTACACGAGGCATGCTTGAGCCTCTGACAGCGCGTATTATTGACTAGATTGTGCATGCACCATCCCCATAGAGTAAACTGAGCATGCTTCAGTTTAGGGTTATGGGGGCTCAAAAGGACTTTCACTGTAATGACTGCTCCCAGCTACTCTGGGTCAGGATAGAACTGGGCACTGGAATAAAGAACAGGGAACCTGTTTCTCAGCTACACTCAATAACCCCCTCTGCTGGCACCCATACAGCATGAAGGAGGAAGTCATCTGATTCAATTACAGAAGGGACAAAATGGACCGAGGTTGTTGTGGGGAAGGGCTGAAGGAGTAGAATGGGACAAGGTGCCTGGGAGCAGAAACTGGGACTGGAGGCTGGCAGGGGCATGGAGACTAGGACTGGGAATCAGTGGGATGGGGCGAAGGAGGAGAGGAGACAGATCTGAGAAGGAACAGGGTCATGAGGAAGAAGTGGAACTGGTTGGGCAAAAGGAGCCAGGTGAGGGGAGGATGCTGAGATTAGGTGAAAAGTCTAGGGAAGAAGAATGGGACTGGGAGCTAGCAGGGATGGGGAACGTGAGTGGAGCTAGTGAGGATGGGGAACATGAGCAGGCAATTAGAAGGCAGGGGAAGAAACCAGCAATTTGGGGGAAGGAACTGGGAATGATTGGGCAAGGAGACTGGGAAAGGGAAGAGATTAGTTGGGGAAGGCAATCATTTACTGGACAAAGAGACTGGGATTAGAAGCCTGAAGAGTGGAGACTGGGACTGACTAGGTTAGGAGAATGGGACAGTGATGGGGCCAATGGTGGGGTAGAGACAGAACTAGGACAGGGGTAGGTTTTAGGGGACAGGGCAGAAGGTGTGAAGCTTTGGGGGGAAGGGGCAGAAGAGTCTGTGCCCATTAGAATACACTCCCCTCCAGAGCTTACAATGGAATCCAAAGTCCCTGAGTCTCACCATTCCCCTGCTGCCAGCAGATACCTGTGAAACCCACTGGCAAATGTCCCATCCCCCTCTAGTGCTGGTCCAAATAGAGGCTAACCTGCTACTGTTACTAATTACTCTCTCCATTCTAATGACAGAGGTCTATGCAGTAGAGCTAAAGGTTCTAATCCTGTTAATGACTCATGTGCATGTCAATGTGATGCCATACAATGGATTTTTTTGTTTGCTTTTTTTAAAAAAACAAAGGAAATAATAATTAGCAGATATTCAATATTTTGCTGTCTCCTTGTTCAGTGTGTGGCCCCAGGCCTTCTTTACTGCTCACTGTTCAAACCCTGCTCTCAGAATCATTAATTTCCTCATAGGTTTTTCTGTGGTGCTCATCACTATAGTATCTGAGAGTTTTTCACAATGAATTTACTTTCAGCAAAGAAACAGAGTAAAGTCAAAAGTGTTCTCTAACTGGCTGTCCAATTTGAGACACCTAGAACCTGATTTTTAGAGTTTTTAGCATCATAGAGGACTTCATATGTTCAAAGCACAGCTCCCATTGATTTCAGTTGCAGCTGTGAGTGCTCAGTACTTCTGCAAATCAGACCAAGAGTCTAAAATCAAGCATCCATAAAATGAGAAACACACAATTAGTTGACCACCTTTTGAAAAGCATGGTTTAAGTGACGTGACCAGCATCATGGAGGAACTCTGGCAGAAGAAGGGATTGAATCCAGTTCTCCAGAGCAACTTTCAGCTGTCTTATCCCTGAGACCATCCTTTCCTTTCCTGCAATCCACTACATACCTTCTAGGTCCTGTAACAAATAAGGGAGGGCTCCTACAGATGAGTCTCCTTCACTACACAAGGTGCTTGAGTTTGTAACCTTAATATTCCTCTAACATAGTTTTTTGGCATGTAATCTTAATAAACACAGCTACTACTGTTATTGGTCCCATAATTATCCCTCAGCAATCTTTTGACTTTTGAAGGAACCCCAGTTGGGGAGATGTTTCTGTGCGGATCAGCTGAATCCTCATAGATAAGGCCGTACCAAATTCATGGTCCATTTTCATCAATTTCATGGTCATAGGAATTTTAAAATAGTAAATTTCATGATTTCAGCTATTTAAATCTGAAATTTCAAGGTGTGGGGGGGTCACAAGATTATTGTAGGGGAGTTGCGGTACTGCTACTCTTACTTCTGTGCTGCTGCTGGTGGCGGTGCTGCATTCAGAACTGGGCAGCTGGAGAGCGGCGGCTGCTGGTCAGGAGCCCAGTTCTGAAGGCAGAGCTGCTACCAGCAGCAGCGCAGAATTAAGGATGGCGTGGTATGGTATTGCCACTCTTACTTCTGTGCTGCTGCCTGCAGAGTTGGGCTCTCAGTCAGCAACTGCCATTCTCCGGCTGCCCAGCTCTGAAGGCAGCAGCACAGAAGTAAGAGTGGCATGGTATGGCATTGCTACCCTTACTCCTGCACTGCTGCTGGCAGGGCACTGCCTTTAGAGCTGAGCGCCCAGCCAACAGGCACCGCTCTCCGGCCACCCAGCTCTGAAGGCAGCGCTGAAGTAAAGGATGGCAATACCTTGCGTCTCCCCCCCTTAAAAATAACCGTGCAACCCCCCCGAAACTCCTTTTTGGGTCAGGACCCCCAATTTGATAGATTTCACGGGGGAGACCAGCATTTATGTAGTATAGGGTAAAAACATACAAAAGACCAGATTTCATGGGGGGAGACCAGATTTCATGGTCCATGATGCGTTTTTCATGGCCGTGAATTTGGTAGGGCTGTACTCATTGGGCTGTTTAAAAACTATTATAAAACTGATGACTTTACATAGGTCATTCTGTTTAAAAAGTTGAAATTAAAATAATACTGTGGTGGAGATTTGACAACAGTAAAAGGGTTATGATTAATATTAAGGACACTCAACTCCCTTACACTCCTGATAATCCCAAACCTAGATATTTTCATTTTATGCCTTTCCATTCCATGCAGAACGTAGGGCCTTCACCAGAGCCTTCCATCTTTGCCAGTCTCCTGCAGCAGTCTTCGCTTCTTTCCATGTCATTTTGATAGCTTTCAGTTCTGCTTCTGTGGTGTGTTTCCATGTTATCCTTGGTCTAGGTTGCCACCTCTTGCCCTGAGGGTTCCTGTCCAATGCCTGCCTGTCATGATATTTTGGGTCTTTCCATGTATAGCCTAGCCATTTCCATTTTTGTTCCATAATATCCTGTTCTATTGGCTTCTGTTTCATTATTCTCCAGAGTTTTTCACCTTTTTGTTTTGGCCATCTGAGACTGAGGATTTGTCTAAGGCAGTTTTTCATGAAAATTTGTAATTTAGATTCCAAGTTTTTAGCACCATATAGTAAGACCAACTTTACAGTGATGTTAAATATTCAAAGTTTAGTTTGGAGGACAAAATTTCTGTTTCTCCAGATTGGCTTTAGAGTTACAAAAGCATGGCTGGCTTTTGCTATTCTGGTTTTAATGTCTCTGTTCCACCTGTTGTACTTACAATGCTGCCAAGATATGTGACATGTCAGTCCTAGAAAGTATTATTGATGTTTCTTGTGTTGATTCTCATAATTTTAGTTTTCTTGGTGTTTGTCAACCCTACTAATTGTGCATAAATCTGGAGATCATTTGTGGTGGCTTACATGTCTCTGAGGGCATGGGATAGCAAGCTGATATCATCTGCAAAGTCAAGGTGCTCTAACTTTTATGTGAAAGTCCATTGTATGACCCTTGGTTATTCTGTGGTCTCTCTCATTACTAGTCCACTACTAGTAAAAAGATCATAAGACATCGTTTGTCTGATGCCTATAGGAACCACAACCCAGAATATCCAAAATATAGCAGCTTCATTTGCTGCATGAGGTCTGCTTAAATTCTGAATATGAGCAAAGCTAACATGGTTTTTCCTGCCCAACCGCATGAAGCATTATAACTTTAATTCAGATTCTAGGAAGAGGAGTCCTTGTTCAGACAGTACTGTAGAACATGTGAGTTATGATGGGTGAAGCAGAGAAGACTCTCCTGTCTCCTGGAGTTCTCTCTTTGGGATATCACTTATATTAATTGGCCAACTTCTGATAGTCTGAGGATTCTCATTGAGGCCTTACTTGTTTTTACACCTTTTGTTTTTTGGAAGTATCTTTCCTCCCTGAAGTATGTTAACAACATAAAAGTAACATGAACTTTGTGGCATAGGCTCTCTTTCTTGCTCTGCTAATTGCAGTGCTAATTGATCGGCTTTTCATTTGGATACCTCACTCAAGCTACTTATGCTCAGGTGTGAAACTGCTGTGCAGATGGCATCTTTGAGAATGAATACCTATCACACTGTATATTGGAAGATCACCTCAGAGGTTTCTCTCCTCTTCATCAGTTGGAGATGTTCTTCTTTTAAGGGATTCTTTATCTTGCTTTTGTCCATATAAGAAGACTTTTCTTACTGTCTGAGCAAAAAGTACATTTTAAAGTGTAACTATAATGTGCATGAAGCAAGAACTCCACATTTACCAAATGACTAAAGGTTCAAGTAGGCAGGGGTTGAGTTTTATGGGCAGAGCTTGAAAAAGTACTGCTATGTTTTTTTCATCCACTTTGTTCCCAGTTGAGAAGGATGAAATCCTCAATCTTGAGAAGCTGCTTTGTGGGACTTGACTCTTCAAGGAGCACATAAAACCTAAATGCTTGATGCCATGTGTATTTTCTGTGCTGCTGTTTTCTGTATTGTCTGGACAATTGAAGCAGACTTTGGTATCGCATTTCACCTCTTAACCTTCAAGGCTGTTCATAGCTTCCCCATCTATGCACTATAACTTTGAAGATGGTTAGGCATGGACACATCTGTGCCTTTCTTGAGTCAAGAAAGTTGCAAAGTTGGAGACCATGACATCCAAGAACTCTGGGATATGAGCTCCCTGTCCCCATCAGCTGTACCAGCTACAGTTCCCTTTTGGGCTTCCTATGTAGATTTAGCTGAGAATGGAGACATTCTGCTTATCCATCCTTGATAGATTGGCCATGATCTATGTGTGACCCTTCATATCTCCAGCTGGAGAACATGCAGAGGTCAATGTTATGTCTTTGGTCTCCAACACAGATACCAGCTAACACAAGTAGTCCTTCTTTGTTACTTAGTGGTAATTTTGATATACAAAGGCACATCAGAGGAGGATTTTTGAGTTTGTATGCCTTCAAAGGCTTTGTCTGAATTATTGTTAAAAGGACAAATGGAAGAAATGCTCTTACCTGTCCCTGCAATGCAATGTCTATTTCTGGATTATTGTTCTTTATTCATCACAAGACTAGTTCTGTATCGTTCCTTATTCACCATATCACATTTTAAGTTAAAAGTTTGAGTCTTCTGTCTTGGAGAAGGCTTATTATTCAGTATTTGCCTATTATGAATAAGGTGCTTCTCTTGGGAGACTCTTGAACCTTGCCAAGATGTTGTAGCCCAAGACAGGTACTTTCCAAGTGATTACTCAGACTCTGGAAGATTGTGCCAAATACATAAATAAGAGTTGACTGTCTCACCTGCCTCTCTTTGATTCAGTTGTCTGCAGCTAATATGAAGCTAAAAGACACTTTATTCTCCTTGTAAATTTTTTTTTGGAAAAGTGAATTTACAGGACTGCAAAGCATTCCTTACATCTCTGTCCAGTTCTTAGTAATAAGGCTGTACATAGGTATTTCCATTATGGTGAAACAAAATGCTCTTGGTTCAAGAGCTTCTGCCAGAAGCCTATAGGCAAAACTACAAAAGCATTAAAAAAGCAAAGCTCAGTCATTCCTCACACTGAATGCTGATCTGAGGGAGTGCTATTTGATTCAGTAACAACTGTCTCTGCTTTGGAACTTGAGTCTCTCACCAATAGTTTTTGGCTTGGCGTTCTATCACGTCAGGCAAAATGCCAGAGGATGCCATGAGCAACTAGAGAACTGGAGTGGGCACTCTCTCAGCTTTTATCTGAAGGGATAGGGATGTTAAAACTGTTGTAGTTAACATTCAGCTCTGCTCAATCAGATTAAAAATCCCTTCCCCTCTCAATTGCTCAGGTTTTAATTATATATTCCCTTTGCCTCTGGCAGTTGGACACAAGAGCTTCTTTCCCATAAAGAAACGGTAGTGCTCTCCTCCCATCCAAGTTTTTGCTTAGTGATCTTGAATTTCCTTCTCCATGAGTTTCATTAACAGTGTTTTAAGGGAATGGGATTCTACACAGACTCTAAATTTTGTGTACTCTCAGCTTCTACAATGAAAGCAAAAAGCATAAGAATTTTTTCTTTCAAGCCTGTTTCTTGAACTCTTTGGACCATAGATAGCACAGTGTATTGACATGCTACAAAGAATTGGCAGTGTCTTGTCTTAAAGCCCATTGAACTAGTCCTCTAAAGCAGTGGTTCTCAAACTTGGGCCACCACTTGTTCAGGGAAAGCCCCTGGCAGGTCGGGCCGGTTTGTTTACCTGCTGCATCCGCACGTTCGGCCGATCGCAGCTCCCACTGGCCTGAATTCTTTACGCAAACTAGTCATTGGAGTCAGGAATTTGAAGGGAAAACCTTACTAGTAATTGCTGTTCTCAGAAAAGATTTAAAAATGACCATAACAGATCTGCATCTGCTCTCTACCCCCTACTTATCTACCTCTGGGCAGTGAGGTAAGGGGAACATGCCTTCTTTATGGAGGTGCTCTGTATGGTGGGGTATGCAACTCTGTTGTTGTTGTTGTTGTTGTTGTTGTTGTTGTAGTAGTAGTAGTATTTGCACTGCTGTATACTGTTACATTGCTGTGTTGATTACTGTCTGATTTTTATTATTAAACTAGGGCTTTTCTTCTAGTTATTACAGGAGCTGTGCACAGTGTTTAATGTAGACTTGCCCTGCCGTGTGAAGTCCTCCCAGCTGGGAATTATCAGCAATAAACAGACGCACACCAGCGCCATTGTGAAGCCGCAGTCTAGCTCTTGCTCATACATCTGCCAGCACTGCCTTGTCCACCTTGGAGACATTGGTGAGTGTTTGGAGCAAGGAAAGATGAGATGCTCTGTATCGCATAAACTTGGAAAGGAATCTGTGCAACCTGTGCTGCTGTTAGGCCAACCTTGAACTGCTGCCTGTAGACTGAACAGTTCGAAGAGGTTGAAAGGTCTGAAATGTAATGCTGTGGTGTTAGAGACCTTGAAAGACTGTGATGCAAGAAGGCAGTGATATTATGAAGAGTAGCTTTCTAATGATTTGCTTAGACTTGTGTTTTCATCTAGAGGAGCTCTGTTTGCTGCAGAGTCAGACAGTGAAAAGTAGAAACCTGTTAAATTGCAAGAGCTATTACAAGAATTTGTGTTGCAACAAGATGGCACGTTTAACAGGCATTCATATCAGAGAGAGCCTATGTTAAACAGTCTTTCCTACAAAGAACATGGTAAGAAGTCTAACTTTCATAAGCCTGGCTGTTTTATTTTGCATCCAGGTACACTTAAGTTCAACAGGTTTATTCCATTTATAATTTTATTGTGGTGCTTTACATATTTTGATTATATGATCCACACTAGATTAAACGTTTTGTAGAAAGGGTTATTTTAAAAGGCAACCTGCAACTACTTTAAAATAACCTAGCATTAGGTCTAGGTATTGAATGCTCCTAGTGTCAAGAGGTATGAGGAGCATTCACAACTTTTTGTGTAATGTGTCTGGCACAGTGTATTTGAGGGTATTGAATAAGAGCTGGTGATCTGTGACTTTTGGACCTGAAAGAGGAGTGGGAAAGGGAGGGCAACGAAAAGTGTATTGATGTTCCTTGTACTATTATGGGTATTCGGTATGTAATTCTACTGTTTGTTTTAAAGTATTTGCAAGACATTTATGGGTCTCCTCAAATAAATTGTATGTACTTGTAATCTGCAGGACCACATACTTTGAAATGTTGAGGAGAGTTTATCCCTCTGAGCAGCAAGACAAACTGCTGTCTAAACTTGCCTTTCTTTCCTTTTTTAGCTCGCTACAGGAATCAGACCAGCCAGGCAGAGTCCTACTATAGACATGCAGCTCAGCTTGTTCCCTCCAATGGTGAGTCTGAGATGCCTCTATTCTGCTGAGTTTACTATCCCAAATCAGTATTTAAGGCATTTGCTTTTTTCTCCATAGAAAATGGAGAAATAGTTTAAGATCTTGACTATTAAAAAAAATAAAATACCAGCAACAAGTTACAGTAGAACCTTGATAATTCACACTTCACTAATCTGCATGCACCATAGTTCACATACAATCTGTTTTCATTTCTCAAAGGTTTAATAGCAAAGTTTTATAGTGAGGTCTCATAGTTACAGAACATGCTACACTACATTTATGCATTTTGTATGAAGTATTATTAAACCTATACTGCACTTGTCAAATGAACAAGCATTTTTTGCTTTCTTTAATTGTTTACTTACTAATAAATAAAATTCAGTAATTCACAGTGGGTCTCCAAGTTACTCATACAAGTTTGAGGTGGTTCTGTAGTTCAGCCTTCTGACTCTATTTTCCTCCTAATCTCTCTCCTTATGCAGGTGCAGTGATCTAGTAGTGAATAGAACTAATTCAACTACAATGAATAGAATACAAATTCCCATGTGCTGCAGGTTGCTCTGTAGCAAAAATGCAAACTACTTTTATGAGCCACACCCACCGGACTCAGTTACTGCAGTAGTCATCTAAAACTGACTTTTAAATCTTTGGAGCTGTCTTTTTTGTCCTGTGTATTTTAAATTGTACTACATCAGTAACTTCTAATAGATTCTGATTGGTATGTTAGAGGTAAAACTTTGCCTGGCCTTGACTGTACCTTCCTGCTTAGACAAAGTTTTTTATTAAGTCATTTACATCTGTTTTTACATTTAATGGATTTGTGAAAATTTGAACCATGAGTTCTGTAGCTTGTGAATTATAGCAGTGCTGAGATGGGGTGAGTAACTAGTTCAGCAAATTAATTTGAATCTGATCTGTATAAAGGATATATATACTTTAAATGGAAGCTTGCTGTCCTTATAGCCAAAATTTAGATTGAAATAAAGATTCTTTCCTAGAGCAAATAGAGGGAAAAGCTTTGTTACAGTTGAAGAAAAGATCACTTCACTCCATGAGAAATTGTCATCCTCTTCTCCCCTAGGTCAGCCTTACAATCAATTGGCTATTTTAGCTTCCTCCAAAGGAGACCACCTGACCACAATTTTCTACTACTGCAGAAGCATTGCTGTGAAGTTCCCTTTCCCAGCTGCCTCCACTAATCTACAAAAAGCACTTTCTAAAGCACTGGAAAGGTGAGGCTGATCTGTTCTAGGGAGTGAGTAGTTACTCATATCTAACACTCCCTTTGACTCTGTCCTGGCAAGTGTTCACTCCCTTATTTGGTGTGTTTGTGTGTATACTCACCACGGATAAGCATTCATAATACCAAATGTGCACACAGGAGTAGGAGATCACTGACCCCCGTTCCAGCCACATCCGCCTTATATATGTATTGAGAGGGAGGTACCTGTATCTGAGATACTCTCGGGTGGGAGCACTATTGGAGGCAAGTGCACTATATCAAGTACCAACACATCTCTTGGGTAGGGGCAGCCAATAGTGGAAACTACCTCTTCTCTCTCACACCCCTGTCCTTTCTCTGAGAAGGGGGTGCAGCTATTAGCATTGTTTCTGCCTGGAAGATCCTTTGTCTATGCAGCTATGTCTAGTTACAAAGACTGAAGCCAACTATTTCTCTCAAACTGCAGTCGGGATGAGGTGAAGACTCGATGGGGTGTGTCTGACTTCATCAAGGCGTTTATTAAGTTCCATGGCCACGTGTATCTGAGTAAGGGCTTGGAGAAGCTGAGCCCTCTTCGAGAGAGGCTGGAGGAACAGTTCAAGGTTAGTGCCACAAAAAATTCCTAATTTTTCACTTTGGAAATCTAACATCTATAAAGGAATCTAGTCTTTCACTGATGTAAAAGGCTGGGAAAACATGTTCCTTTAAGAAAACTGACAAAAGTATTTCTGACCAGAGGGTAAGTGTTTTGCATACTGAAATAGAACATGATATGCATGAGTAGGGCCCTACCAAATTCCATTCTGGTCTATTTTGGTTAATTTCATGGTCATAGGATTTTTAAAATCGTAAATTTCATGATTTCACCTATTAAAATCTGAAATTTCATGGTGGTGTAGCTGTAGAGGTCCTGACCCAAAAGGGAGTTGCAGGGGGGTTGCAAAGTTATTGTGTGTGTGGGGGGGGGTGTTGCGGTACTGCTGCACTTACTTCTGCGTTGCTGGCGGTGGCGCTGCTTTCGGAGCTGGGCAGCTGCTGGCCGGGAGCCTAGCTCTGAAGTATGGTATGGTATTGCCACCCTTTACTTCTGCACTGCTACCTGCAGAGCTGGGCCCTCAGTCAGTAGCCGCCACTCTCTGGCCATACAGCTTTGAAGGCAGCAACGCAGAAGTAAGGTTGGCAATACCGCAACCTCTCTAAAATAACCCTGTGACCTCCCTGCAACTCCCTTTTGGGTCAGGACCTCCAATTTGAGACACGCTAGTCTCCCCCTTGAAATCTTTATAGTACAGGGTAAAAGCACACAAGACCAGATTTCACTGGGGGAGACCAGATTTCACAGTCCGTAACACATTTTTCATGGCTGTGAATTTGGTAGGGCCCTACACATGAGGTGGTAATAGTCAGCAGGCTGCAAAGATTTGGTGGTGATGCTGATAATGGTCAGCCTTACTCACCTACACAGACAGCATGATTTTTTTCTCCAGTTTAACATTGCTTACCCAAATGTGTTCTTCTGTTGCGGAGACAAAAGGTTAATTAAAATTAATTAAACGTTTTAAACATTTGCTGCATTCTGAGCTTGGAGTGCCACATTTGATTCTCTGCTTCTTGAACCGGATGATCGCAAGAGATTTTGTGAAAAGCAATTTCTCCCAACTCCTACTGTTTCGTCTGAGAGGAGTCTTCTTTAAATTCTTTAGTAAACTCTGAACGAAGAGCTTCCTTCTTTGATTTCCTACATTTACTCTTTAGTAGTAGTTAAGAATGTTTTAACCCTGCTCAAGCTGCCTGCCTCTCCTGCTGGCAAAGTTTACACTTGAAAGCAGTGTTTTGAAAGCCTTCAGTTCCGTGCATGGAGTGGAACCATTCAGAACTGAGATGTCTCCTCTGCAAAGTAAGAGTAACCAGTAATTAAGCACGTAGCTCATAAGTTTAAAACTGCTACATTCTCTAATTTAAATAGATGAGCTTTTTTATTTTTACTCCAGACAATGTGACTTAGCTAGATAAAATTTAAAACCACAACAAACCTTCCCACTGCCCCTCCAACTGTTCATCACTGGTTCTTTTCCTAATTTCAGCCATTTTATAAATGATACTTTCCAGAATGCTTATTAGTAATTATGTACAGTGCTCAGGCATATGGAAGGCTCTGCGGTCCAAGGTGTGCAAGAACTAATTACACCCTGACTTTGTGCACTACATTGTGCTGTATATATAAGCAACATGTTCTGAAACATGGCATTTGCTACACTGAGCTGAATAATTTTAGCTTCCTCCTCCCCATGATATAAGAAAATCATTTCATCTAGCTGGGTTGTGAAGTGAAGCATGAAATCGTAGATACCTATGGCTGGGAAGGACCTTTAGATGTCAAGTCCGGCACCCTACAATGAGGCAGCACCAAGTAAACCTAGACCATCCCTGGCAGGTGTTTGTCCAACCTGTTCTTAAAAACCTCCAATGAGTCCACAACCTCCCTTGGAAGCCTATTCTAGAGCTTGACTGTCCTTATAGTTTTTTCCTAATATCTAACCTAAATCTCCTTTGCTGCAGATTAAGCCGATTACTACTTGTCCTACTTTCACTGCACTTGGAGAACAATCGATCACTGTCCTTTTTATAACTGCCCTTAATATATTTGAAGACTATCAGGTTTTCCTCAGTCTATTTTTCTGAAGACTAAAAAGCCCAGTCTTTTTAACATTTCCTCATATGTCAGGTTTTTTTAAACCTTTTATCATTTTTGTTCCTCTCTTCTGGACTCTCTCCAGTTTGTCCTCATCTTTCCTAAAGTATGGCACCTATAATTGGCCAGTACTCCAGCTTAGGGCCCCACCTGTGCCAAGCAGAGTGGGACAATTACCTCCTGTGTCATAGATATGACATTCCTGGTAATACGCCCCAGAATTATATTAGCTTTTTTCGCAACTGCATTACAGTGTCGACTCGTATTCAATTTGTGATCCAATGTAACCTCGAGATCCTCTTCAGGATTACTAGCCAGTTATTCCCCATTTTGTAGTGGTGCATTTGATTTTTTTTTTTCTTTGCACTTGTTTTTAATGAATTTCATCTTGTTGATTTCAGACTAATTCCCCAATTTGTCAAGGTAGTTTTGAATTCTAATCCTGTCCTCCTTGCAACCCTCTCAGCTTGGTGTCACCCACAAATTTTATAAGAATACTTTCCATTCCTTTATCCAAGTCATTAATGAAAATATTGAATAGTATCGGACCCAGGACTGACCACTGTGGGACCCACTAGATACATTCTTCCACTTTGACAGCGAACTATTGATAACTACTCTTTGGTTATGGTCTTTCAACCAGTTGTGCAACCACTGTATAGTAATTGTATGTAGACTTCTTTCCCTTGTTTGCTTATGAGAATGTCCTGGTGGACTGTCAAAAGCTTTACTAAAATTAAGATATATCATATCTACTGCTTTCCCCTATCTGCTGGGCCAGTTAGGCTTGACTGGTCTATAATTCCCCAGGTCCTCTTTTTGTTCCCCTTTTTAAAGATAGGTACTATGTTTGGCCTTCAGTACTCTGGAACCTCACCCATCCTTCGTGAGCTCTCAAAGATAATTGCTAATGGTTCTGAGATTGCTTCAGCTAGTTCTTTCAATACCCTAGGATGAATTTCATCAGGCCCTGCTGAATATATCTAACTTAATTTGTTCGTTCCCTGTGTTGGCTTGCATTCCTTTCTCCTTGTTAATATTAACTGCATTGAGTATCTGGTCATGATTAACCTTTTTAGTGAAGACTGAAGCAAAATGGGCATTTAACAGCTCAGCCTTCTGGATGTCAGGAAACCGATGAATTACAATGAGCTATATTTTCAGAAATATTTTCAGCTGTACGGTACTGTGTGGTTGGTCATGCTGCTAAACTCGAAGCTCTCTTTACATCCAAAATTATAGGGTTAGGACTGTTCAACAAGACCAGCAGTCTCATTACGCTTCTGACTCCAGTTGTAGAATCTAGGGTGCTATATGCTCTTAGGCAAAAAACAAAACTGGGCATGGGGCTCAGAAAAGTCATTTTTCCACTTAGGCAACTAACTTTAGCTCATTATGTGATTTTTGTTGTTGTCGTCTAAATTGATTGTGGTGCTAGATTGGATATCAGTCCTTATCACAGTGCATCAGAAAGGTTTAAAGTTAGTCTTCATCTGCCAAAGAATGGCAGGTGTCTAGTGTTACTGTACTTAGTGAAGCAAGATAATTTTTGTAAACATCATGTGCGATTTTCATCACTATTAATAGTTCTGTCCCATGGGATTAAATATGGAAACACTCATAATGCATAACCATACATCATGGTTGATTTACCTGATTTATCTGTAAAAATCTTAATCATGACACTACATTTGCTACTGTTTCATTTTTTGAAAGGGAGAAAGATTAGCTGGTATGTTTCTGTGCAGTTTGCATAGTCACACATTTTAATGTAATGACTCTATTGCATGTTACATTTAAACTACATGGAGTGGGCCAGTCCCCCACAGTACATTCCATGTTATGTGTACAGGTGTTGAGGTCTAGCAAAGTCTGTCAGACTTAACTGAGCCCTTCCTGTGCAGTCTTAAGTGTATGTTTGCGTTGGAGGGATAATTTGCTATTAGGAATTATCTAATAGCACTTGAAAAACATTTAGGATGAGTGCCTACTCCCCAATGGCTGAACCATTGCTAATGCAGTACAATAGTAACCACAAATCTGAAATGTCAGTCAACTAACCCTTTCAAATGCATTCTTTCTGGGTTACAGTACACACACTTGTATATATTTCTTTGTTACAGAGGTTGTTATTCCAAAAAGCCTTCAACTCTCAGCAGTTAGTTCATATTACTGTCATCAACCTGTTTCAACTGCATCATCTGCGAGATTTTAGCAATGAAACTGAACAGCATAGTTACAGCCAGGATGAGCAGCTCTGCTGGACACAGCTACTTGCCCTCTTCAGTAAGTACTGAGACTCCACATTTTTTTTTGTTCTTTGCTTCCTTATAGTATACATTTAAAATGGATTGTGTTCTCCCCACCACCCCCCATTCAGTTTTCTGTTTTTTTCTCTTTGATTCACTTGTAAGGAGATACTTACCTATTTGTCCTACTGAATCTACCACCTCTCTTCAGTTGTCAACAGAGCCTTTTTAGGAAAAACAATTCAAAAAGCTAATGGCTGAACTTTGTGGTAAGAAGTAGTACATTGAAAATAAGATATTATGATCTGCCAGTGGAATCTTTAAACTAAAATCAGTAGGGTGGTTTGTTCTAAATAAATAGCCCTTCAAAATAGTGATTTATGGTGTAACACTTCTTAATTAGATTGTTGCTCAGTTTTAAAAGTTGTTATGGATTCCTCTATGTTGTCCTTTCAGTTTCCTTTCTTGGAGTCCTGTGCAAGTGTCCACTGCAGAATGACTTCCAGGAAGAGTCTTGGGGTGCATACCCGCTTCCTGCTGTAAAGGTCTCGACAGACTGGCTGAAACTTAGACCCAGTGTCTTCCAGGAGCCAGTAGTTGATGAAAGACAGTAGTGAGTCTCTCTTTTGATACAATTTTTTCTTTTAACTTTTCAGTTGTGTAAGGTGATAGTGACTAAAGAAGGATTAATGGTAGTGAAGAAATAGACTGGGTCCCTTAACTGTTCATTTACAGACACTGAGGTTTTTAAAAGTACAGAATTTTTGTAAAGAAAAGTGAGGGTTCTGGGTGTTAAACTATATACAGTATTTGCAAATATGTAACCATTGTTTTTAGATTTTATTCATAGGGGGTTTTTTTTGGTTTTTTTAAGGCTAGAAGGGACCATTTGAAACATCTAGTCTGACTCCTGCATAACATAAGCCAAACAACCTCACCCAGTAATCTGTGTTGGTTTTTTGTACTCGCTCAGTTAGATGTACTGAGACAGATGGCTGTAAAATGATTTTCCCATAGTCATACATTGAGGCTTGGATGTTGCTAGAATCCAAGATTCTCTCAATCTTCAATTTTGTACTGAAGGTCAGCACAGAGAGCATCTCATGGTGTTGCTCTACTCTATGCCTGTAGTACCATAATTATAGGCTTTTTGTGGCACTGCCCAGTCTATTCTATAACTACAGCAATTGTTTAATTTTGTTTGGCTCTATGGATGATTTTTTTTTTCAACATCTAAGTGGCTATTATTGACATACATGTATAAATACTTTTCTTGGGATGTCTTAAAAAAACCAAGATGAAGTACAGTGACTGGATTGATTGGCACTGCCTGAATAAATGTTAATCTTCACAGTAAGAATAGAATATTGTATACCTTAATAAAGAGAAGGCTGCTGTCATCCTGGGGGTAAGTGGCCACAACGGACAGAGCCCTACAAAAGCAGTGGGTATAGCATAGAACTGGGAGTCTGGAGATATAGAGTCTGTTCCTTGCTCAGCCCCTAATTGAGTGGCCTTGGGCAAGTCACTTAACCTCGCTCTGCACCTCAGTTCCCTGATTGCAGTGGGGAGTAAGCACTATAATCCCTATTTGACAAAGTGCTTTGAAATCTGCCCTTAAAAAGTGTTATCTCCAACAGTCACTCAAAATTTAAAAAAAAATAGCTTAGGGAAATTTTTATCTTTCCATAATCTTCCTACTTCAAAAGATAAAGACATCACTCCATGCTTCATTTTGCCAAATCACAGGCTCAGGATAATGAAAAGGAAATCTGAGTTCAACAGTTTTTCAAGTTGTTCCATCATATGTTCAGTTTCCTTTTATAAACTGCAAGTGTAATTTTAAGGGTTTTTTAAAAGAGGCTTATGGAAAAAAAACTTGAGTTAAAATTAAGTAAAATTGACAGATATTAAGTTCTTCGTTGATGGGTTGTCCACATGGATTCCTCTTTTACTGCAGATGCATCAGATTCTTCTGGCTATCTGTTTCTACAACTTGCAGGTTCTTTCCATCTCCACCTAACCCCCAATACCTACTCAAGTTCTTTCTTACCACACTTGGCAGAGAGATGGAATCCTTTCAGTCTGCCTGCTTCTCTTCAGTTCAGTTGCAGTGAGTGGTTTAGGTTATACAGTTGTCAGGTTGTTAACTTTTAGATTGCCTGTTGGTTTTAAAGTATTTTTTTACTACTTTCTTTTACTAATTTTTCATAGATAATAGGCTTGGATCTGCCTCCTCTCCCCTTCCATTTTTACGGAGACTTGAGCTGTTATGGTAGATGTTAAATCTCTGGGCTTTAGGAATGCCACTCTGTGGTGCTGCTATTCCATTCAACAGTCTAAGTGGCTATTTTGTTTAGGCAAATGTCATATCCCTGACCATTGCTTTATTTGCTGCTCTTGTTCCAGGCAGACTCAGAAGGTTAGGGGTGCCTGCTTAGTTACTTCTTCTGGAGTACTTCAGTGAAAGCCTCCTCAGACACAGAGAAGGATGTGGCTAAGGCTCAGTCTTTCTCAGCTCATGCCCACGCCAGCTGGGATTTCATCCTGAGCTCCAGGGCTAAGATGTCTAAGGCACCAGTTGTCAGCTTCAATCCAGTTGTTGACTTCTTCACACACAGGTAGGAAGGAGCTTGACACTCCAGAGACAAGACTAGACATCCTCAGAACCAAGACACAAGAGTCAACATGTGTCTAACTTGTTTCAAGTGCCACAGCCAATGGCATCCAAATAGCCCAAGATGGATTCCTCTGGAATCTTGTTACTGGCTATGAAAAGAGTATCTGCGGATTGCCTTTCCTCTCATACAGACTCTTCCTCACTCTCTGTACCCTGCACACACTCAGACAGTCCCCCAACCTGAAGCAAATACTCACCAGCAACTACACACCACACAACAAAAACACCAACCCAAGAACCAAACCCTGCTACAAACCCTGGTGCCAACTCTGTCCACATACCTATTCAAGGGACACCATGATAGGACCTAACCACATCAGCCACACCATCCAGGGCTCGTTCACCTGCATATCTACCAATGTGATATATGCCATCATGTGCCAGCAGTGCCCCTCTGTACATTGTACATTGGCCAGACCGGACAGTCTCTACGCAAAAGAATAAATGGACACAAATCTGACATCAGGAATCATAACATTCAAAAACCCGTAGAAGAACACTTCAATCTCTCTGGTCACTAATAACAGACCTAAAAGTGTCAATTCTTCAACAAAAAACCTTCAAAAACAGACTCCAACGTGAAGCTGCAGAACTGGAATTAATTTGCAAACTGGGTACCACCAGATTAGGCCTGAATAAAGACTGGGAGTGTTTGGGTCATTACAAAACCTAAACTTAATTTCCCCAATACTAATTTCTCCTTACTGTTAGTCACACCTTCTTGTCAACTGTCTGTAATGGGCCACTCTCTTACCACTTCAAAAGTTATTTTTCCTCACTTGGTATCCTGCGGTTAATTGATTTATCTCGTTAGACTGACGTCACACTTGGTAAAGCAACCCCCACCCTTTCATGTATTTATATTTGCTCCTGTATTTTTCACTTCATGCATCCGATGAAGTGGGTTCTAGCCCACGAAAGCTTATGCCCAAATAAATTGGTTAGTCTCTAAAGTGCCACTGCGACTCCTAATTGTTTTTGCTGATACAGAGTAACACGGTTACCACTCTGAAACCTGTGGTCTTTTTTGGCAGTGTGAGTGACCTGTCTGTGGACCTGGTACTGAATTACCCTTTCTGGGATTGTACTGGATTCCCCTCAGCAGTGCAAACTAGACTTGTGGCCACCTAAATCATGGTACTGCATACAGCAGTTGAGAGATCAATACAGTATACTTCCCCTACCCATCTACAATGGGACTCTGTCCACTGGCTCCCTTGACACCTTTGAGGAGCAGTGGGCACTGTCTGGGGTTCTCTGCTCGGTGTCCCCATCAGGTTCCCTTCTTTTGATCCTTTGACCGCACTCCTGTCCCTGTTATTACTTTAGTTGTCCCCCGTAATCATTTGGGTTTCAGGCCCTGTGGGTCCTCCCCTTAGGCTGGGGGCGGGGATCCTTTAGCAGTGGGCAGGCTTTGCCCGCCCACTTCCCGGAACCCAGTAAGTACAATGGGACTCAGGGATGGACTCCAAAGATTTCTCTTTGAGCAGGGGAGTGTATGGGTCCCTGGTATTCTCCAGTGTCCACTGATTCAGTATACAAATGCTTATCAGTCATAGCCCTGCTGGACACATTGGGGTATGAAGTGGGTCTGAGAGATTGTCAGCAACTGGTATTGCATACAATTCCATTTTCTTCCTACTCCCCACTCAGCTTCCCTGTCCCTCTTCAGGAACCCCTCTCAAGATACGGTTGAAGCAAGAGGGTGGATTCTTCCACTGCTCCAAGATGTGGTGGGAGATTTAGAATTCAGGGGCAGTTGGGGTTTTTAATTCTCATTATTTATTCTTTCTAAAGAAAGAGGGTTGGCAGCCCATTCTAGATTTTTTTGGTGTCTCAACAATATACACCTTGTATCTGAATCTGAAATCCCTCAGATTCCTAGTAGGAACATCTCATTACCAGGGTTCTGTCCTTTAGTCTTTCTCTGCATTGAGAGTGTTCACCAAGAACCTGGTAGTCATAGCAGCTCATTTGCTGAGGAGTTTATTCATATCCCCTTGAAGGGTTGATCTAAGGAAGTTCAGCAAAGCAGGTGGCCAATGCAGTTCAAATAACCTTAATGTTCTTTGCCACACTAAAGCTCAAAGTCAACAAAGAAAAATCCACATTCAGCAGACACCTCATGGATCTGATGATCATGGTCCCACAAGAAGTCCTCTCCTCATTAAACTAGTGGACGGACCCACTTCAAGTGTACAAGGAAGTACTCTTTGCTGCACCTCTACCTACCAAGACTCTGGGGACAGATGGTTCCATTGAGGGATTTGGAGAGTTCATGTAAGTCACCTTCAAACACCGGGCCTGTGGTCCTCTCAAGAAGTTTGTCTGCACATAAATGTCCTGGAACTCAGAGCCATTTGCCAGGCATGCAAAGCATTCTTGCCTCTACTCCTGGGATTTACAGTCCAAGTGCTAACAAACACCACCACAGTTATATATTATGTCAGCAGTAAAGGAGGAGTTAGGTCATCTGCACAAGAGAGCATTCAGCTCTATTCCTTACCCACTGATGTCACTGGCCCTGCATCATCCAAGCATCAGAACTTGCTAGAAGATCACCTCACCAGGCAGTTCTCAGACAATCACAAGTGGTCAGTCAAGGACCCAGTATTTCAGAGCATTTTTTTGCAAGTGGAGATACCCATCAATTAACCTATTTGCCACAGGTCAGAAAATAAATGCCAAGTGTTCTGCTCCATTCTGGGCTCTCAGATTCCTTTCTCATCCCCTGGACACTGGGACTAATGTATGCTTTCCCCTAATATCCTTGAGGGACCTGAGAAACCTGAGGCAAGATGTTGGATCAATTGTGATAGCCCCTGCATGGGCCAAGGAGTTCCAGTATTCGGATCTGATGAACCTCTCCGTGGAGCCCCAGATCACTTTGCCTGTCCTGCGCAACATAGTCTCACAGCACAGTGATTAGATCT